GCGGCTAAACGTATAGTCATTGAAACGCTGCATGGCGTAAACCAATGCAAGCATTTCTTTTTCTCTTTGCGCGTAACGACGCTCGGCCTCTGTCAGCGTCCGGCTGCGAAACTCGATAGGCTTACCGTTCTGCATGAGTACGGCTGCGATACCAAACTGACAGCTGTCACACTGGATCTCGAGTGTGAGTACTGGGTTGTTATAAGCGAGAACGGGGGCGCCTGTGATCAATTCCTTTATTTTCTGAAATGCTCTCCTCCTGCTGTGCATCCCACTGCCACTTCTCATCCTTATGCGTCAGTTTCCGAATCGGTACCATTACATCGGCTAATCTGGGCAAGAAACGACTTAGGTAATTCACCATCCCATTCAGCCTGCTAACGGCTTTCACGTCAGTAGGAGGAGGCATCTCTTTGATGGCCCTGACTTTCTCTGGGTCCATTTTCAGTCCTTCAGTGCTTAGCACGTCTCCATGAAACACCACTTCCGTCCTACGCAACTCGATCTTCTCTCGTTTTAGCTTGATGTTCCTTTCAAAACAGCGCTGCAAAAAGCGGTTGAGGTTCTGGTCGTGCTCCTCTCGCGTAGCGCCAAAAACCAAAACCTCGTCTGCTACACAGAACGTTCCTGGTAAATCGTCTAAAGTCTGCATCAGTCGTTTCTGGAATATCTCGCTAGATACCTTCAGTCCAAACGGTAGACGAAGCCAGTGGAAACGCCTGAAAGGTGTCCCAAACGTGGTCAGATAGCTTGACTCTTCGTCAAGTAATACATGCCAAAACGCAGAAGCAAGGTCTACTTTAGTGAATATTCTAGCTCTGGATAGCACCGGAAGTACGTCATCTAGCGTCGGTAGCATATAATGCTCTCTCCCGAGCCGTAATTGTAATCGAATAGGGCTTTAAACACAGTTTGAACATCTGCACGAACAGGTTTCCACTCTGACGCCAATAACAGGTAATGCTATTGGCTGCTTTAAGGCTAAGACTTTAGACATAGTCAACCGATTTTGCGTTACCGAGATTGGAGATATCGAATACTTACGACAGATCATTTTATTTCTTTGATGGAGTTATGTCGCAAGGGTGATGCATTGCTACCGGGGCCTGACAGGAGTTCTGGAGTCATTGTGGTGAGCATACATGATTAATTACAGTAAATGCAATCTGTACTCGTGAGTGAAAATCGATTTTCGAATTGTCTAACAGATCTTGATAGAACAGAAAAAGTTGAAAGTACAATAGCCTGCGAATTGCGAAGTTTACATAAGTTGAATGCTAATGCCATGATACAACTCCGGCCTCGTAGTTTCAGATTTCCTCGGATGCACCGTTTGCCGACGGTTTTGCTACGTTCAATCTTTTCATTGGTAGGACTGTTGTACTCTAAAGTGGCATGACGATCAGCCAAGGTAATGGAGCCTTCCCGATGTGTTGGTACTGTATACTGTATCATAGAGCAAATAGAAATGAATTCTATACTTTCTAAATATGGTGTAGAACGTTATTAAAGTTGTCAGCCGTGAATATCATTCTCATTCTCATGTAACATTTAAAATATCTGACTCACGGTATTGTAGGATTCACAAATGTGAAATGTTGTCATAAGTGTGCAGTCGTCCTTTGAATCGAGTAGTCATAAAATATAAATCTAACAACGTTTTGAACTGCTGCAGAGATGTTGCCTCCATCACATGTTCAGGGAAATTGTTCCAAATATTTACCACTCTCCGTTCGAAGCACAGTGGGTGAGGAACACATTTCACATCCGGCACGACAAGTTTGTATCTGTGTCCGCGTGTGCTGCATGGCCCTCGTAAGTGCAGCATTGGCCTTAGCATTGGGAAGTCACCGAGGTGTAGATTACGGTAGGTCGTAATGAGGTCGACTCGCGCCAGACGATAGAACAAGGTGTAGAGTCCTAGTTTCTCGCACCGGTCTTCATACCCAAGGCCACGTAAACTCGGGATCAGCCTGGTAGCAACGTGTTGGATCCGTTCGATCTTTTGTGCCTCGCTTCGGGTAATCGGAAAGTAGGCGGACGAACCATACTCTAGTATTGGTATAATGATGGAAGAGAAGAGGCGAGTGGCAACCTCTTTAGACCATGTGCCGAAACTACGTTTGAGCGCCCAAAGCATGCGCAGTCCGTTGCGATATAGCCTTTTCGTGTTGTCCACGGACTTCAAATCGTAGCGCGTGAGTACACTTAGGTCCTTCACGGAGGGTGTGGGATATAGCGGTTGGCCGTCAAGGGTGTAGATTCGGCCGTCAGCACCCTTCCCCAGACTCATAAATACAGGCTTGGCTGGGTTGACCGGGGGATAAGCTTCTGCGGACCATGTGGATAGACGGTTGAGGTCTTGCCGAAGTACGCCACATTCGTCGGGAGCGTCAATTTCTCTCCAAATCTTCATGTCATCCGCGAACAAGGCACACAGCGACCGAAGAAGCTGAGGTAGATCGTTGATGTGGATCAGGAGCATAGTAGTCCCCAGCACAATGCCTTGAGGTACGCCACTTGTGGACGGATACCAGTCAGTTAAATGGTCGTCGACCTGTACCCTCCACTTTCGTCCAACAAGAAAGTCGCGGATCTGCTGGTGCAGTGAGCCATGGACACCATACACCCTGAGTTTGTGAAGGAAGACATAATGGCTGGCCTTGTCGAACGCTTTACTGAAATCGATGAATATCACCTCGACAGACTTCCCCTTGCTTATTGCCTGCAACCACTCATACCACGTCACAAACAAACTTGTTATGCATGAGCGGCGTTTCATAAAACCGTGCGTAGTTTAACGAACTCGTTTGGAATCGTTTGCATTATCCAGTGTGAAGGTGATTCGCAAGCGATTGGTGTCTTCCGACCTCTATTCTCTATTTGCAAATAGCCCCTTGGAAGAGACGTAGAACATTATAGGTAGTTACGCAAGTAGATTAGGGTTTCCAGCACACCGGCTAAAGGACCTACTTTGTGTTTGCACAGAATATGTTTACTTTTGCTTCAGTGGAAATTTCTATCAGCAAATTGTGAGCGTACCGATGAGTCTACTTGGCCCCATTCTAGCTGACATCTTTGTGGCCCATCTAGAGAACGCCAAATTGCGTCGGTCCATACAGGAAGCAGACATCTACGCCCGATTGACAACAGTTTTGTGGTGGTGAGCGATACTCGACTACCAGAAAACGTGTCCGAAACATTTAACTCATATCATCCTGAGGTCAAATTCACTCATGAAAGCAAAACACCAGGAAAGTACCTTTTCTTAACTGCAGCATTGATTTGCAGATACGATGACTCCTTCGTAAACCAATTTACAATTAACCAAACTGAACTGGGCAATATCGAAACTTTGATAGCTAATGTTCTATCAACTACAAGCACACCCTGGTTTGTGCCTCTTTTGTAAGCGCCCGCCGTATCCTTACAGAAGAGATGATTGTGGAAAAACTACCGTGTCACGTCCAAGTGAGAATAGTTGCCCTGGCATCAGCAATACGCCGGTACGCAATACCGATGCTGCGCTCCCACCACCGGTCGCACTCGGGCTAAGGATGCTACGAGGGGCGCCCTGCCCGTACACAGGCTCGAACCCGCGCCGTCAGATTAGGCTACGGGCTGGCAATGTTTGCCCTGACAAGTTTATTACTAGGTATAGAGTGAAAATCGTGCCGCAAGAAAAGCAGGCTGAAGTCCCCAAAAGAAAGATGCTCATCATACTGCGTTATAAAGGAGAACAATCCAATAGACGATTCTGTCATCGCTTACGCTGCGCCATAAAGTGGTGCCATTATGCAGCTGAGTTTGTATTGCTTCCCCCCACCAAAATGTTGCTGCATGATTCCTATTCAGACAGGTTTCACTCTCATGTCACTGTCTCTTGTGTTTACCAGTTCAATTATACTTGTGTTAGCATGTACATCGGCCGGACAGAGACGTTGTCTACTCGGATTTCGGAACGCATTCCGTAGAATCCAGCTCTGAATGCTTTAACATTGCTCGCTAGCTCTATCACCCTGCACTTACTCATCTGTTCGATTTGCCATTACCCCCGCGAGGCATTCAGGCTTATCAGTATGAAGGACATTGTCAAAGTACAGGTATTGCTGAGGATCATGGCTGGCTTTCTGAACCTTCTATCACGCGGCGTATGATTCTTAACCTATACAAAAACAATGAGTTTGTGACCAACCTTGCTTTGTCTTGATAAGGCGCAACAGCTACACTGGCACGATTTCTGGTATTACTCGGTCACTGTCAAGTTTTCATTCACATTATTCAAGCGGTAGAGGAGTATACACTCAATATACTGAGTTCAACTTATTCCGCCTATACCTTATTTGTTTTCGCGTTTTTTGCCATTTCTTTAGTTCATTCCAATTAGGTTACAAGGTACAAATATCAGCCACTAATCAGGAATATCGCCAGCCAATCATTTCACCCTGTTAGGGCTTGTCAGTGGTGCCCATTTCTCCGGTCCCCTGAAGGTGATCGAACCTATGATCGCTAGTGGCTTGCACCAATAGCCATCGGCTTATGCCACTAAGGCATATGGGACGATAGCCGACCGTCATGGATCACAACCAATTTGCAATACAGCCCGATTGTCCACCGCCATGCAGTTTACTGCCCGTGTTGAGTACAGTGGTTGATTCTCCGTTGTCAGGACTTCCCTTGCAAGTAGCCTTAAATTCACGTAGCATTTTTGCGAACTAGCACAGTTTAGTTTTTGATTAATCGTGTGGACGGATTTGGTGTGCTTTAATTGGATTAAGTGTACAATTTGTTGATCATGCCTGGTTTGGTGTGTCCCGACAAATTCGAGAATAAACTATTTATTTATTTATTTTAGTCGCTGCTTCTGTTTGCGTAATGCCGCAGTTCGGCAAGCCAATGACTTGACAAGGATGCGGAAAAATGGTGGCTTTCTAGATACCGCCACGTCATACCGTCCCATCACTTCTGTTACAAGCTGCATACTTGTTACTCTCTTCCAGGAGGATATGCAGCTTCTGAAGGAGGCAATGGACAGTCACAAAACTCTCAGTGATGAGGGTCTAAATTTACTGTCTGATAACCCCCTCCCCGAGATCCCTCCAGATCTACCTGATTGCCAAACATCGATGATTCATCCCCTACCGCTCTCCATGGACACTCGGGAGGAATGGGATAGTCCGCAGACTCCACCTCCAACTCCAGTCGCTGCTTGTCTTGTTGGTTCTCATAACATCCCTTTGCTATCTCCCAAACTCAAAGAACTGAGTAAGTCCCCCTTCGTTGGCGGTTTCAGTGGTCCCAGCATACTATCAGCACCATGTGCATCCCTTTTTTTCCAAACTGGAATTTTAACTGAAGATCACTTTTCTTACTTTTGTGACTGTAGTCATCTACTTATTGATAGCGGTTCGATACTTATTGTACTCTCAAAGTTTCTCCAGTCAGTTCTGTTTTATTATGCCGTGATCATGCAGTCAATGGGGTATGTATCATTCACAGCTGTGCTTCTTCAATCCTATCGCAACGGTGCAGCAAAAGAGAACCATTCACGAACTGCGCGTTTTTCAGACCAGTTCTCTACTCATTAACGGGGCTCCGCGATCTTGTGTCGTTCGTACATATATTCACAAGTATCACAGTGAAATTTCTCGGCTCTGAAAAGTCTAAACAAAGTGTTTCCATGTGATATTGCCTTATCTCCGTCGGTAAATATATTGGAATACTCAGTAGTGTTCGAAGCTTCCGTGCCGTCGCGGTTTCCTGAGACGTACGTTTCTGATGAACACATCCCCACTATCCGGATGGCTGCAGTAGTTTTGATGCATTTCATTTCTTGTAAAATAATCCAGTTTTCATTATCCGCTTTTAACGCAGCTATCAATTTTCCATTCGACACTTTACCCGAGGACTTGGAAGAGAGCGCTGCATCTGCGGAGCGCAGTAATTTCCTCGCTTCTTCAAGAAACGCATCTGAAACAGATCTATTCCCGCTTGATCCAAGCGAGGCCGTGATCGAATCGGCGTCTCACGAACCGGGAGCCGTCCATTGGGTAAGCGTCGCAGTCGCATTGCATGGGCGCCACGCTCGCTGTCTCATTTGTCTTCTAAAACCTGATACCTATTTTTGTCATGCCTCATATAAATTCTAGTTGTTATTTTCATTCCCAGCCAGCCGTTTTGCACACATACACTGGTTGAATTAAATGAATAATGCTGACTACTGGGGAGCGATAAGGGTAAGCATTTGAAGTCTACGACAATCGAGGTCATCGTGCGCGACGATATAACCCAGGACAAAGCGAGGTTGGTCACGAGAACCATTTGTTTACTTTACTTACACTTCATTCGACGGATGACAAAAGCTTCAACACATGAGAGCAGATGCAGAGTATTTTAAGCACTGATGAAATGGGTTGCGCACAAAATACTATCGAGCAGGTGTGTCGGGTGATTGAGCTGGCAAGCATATTGCAACCACTGTGGAATGTGTGTCCAGAACCTTGGTTGATAATCTTATCTCATTCTGTTCAATGTATGTGCTACCGCAGGCAAGGTTAAACTGAAGAACGCATGACACGGTGAGAGGTCTGTCTGGGTTGGATTCACGTGGTAATTTTTTGATCTGGTCTAATAGCACTAACACGTCTGTGTGCCAACACTTGTTGATGGATTGGCATGACTGATGGCAGATCATTTTGTTTTCCTTTGAAAGGTGGTACAATGGACACCTTTTGTTGTTAGCACTGGGCCAGTCTTCCTGTCAGGTAGTCTCTTCCCTATATTTTAGCAATGAATTTATTGGGGTGCTCATTTTTGCTTAGTGTATCCACGGTGTTAGATCTTCAAATTTTCTCGCTATTCCGAATTAAGCACCCAAAATTCTCCGCAACCTCCTAATCCAACTGAAGAATAATCGGCAGTCCAACGACCTTGACCGAGAAAAACGTTTTAACCAAACGCAGATAAAACGCCGCCCAAACGCTGTACACCTGCCCCAGACCTTCGCCAAATTTGTAGGTCGCTCATTAGCCTTCCGCAACTAGACAAGGAAGGTCAACTAGTAACATTAGTAGCTTCCTTGCCAAAACTCCGTATGTTGGATTTCACCTGAAGGAATGAAAGGTTACAGAGTCTTCGAAATCAATTCACATTTGAAGTTAGTCGATTAGTTGCTAAAATAATGGGCTTGATATGGGTTTGATATTTTTACCTCCCAGTACAGTGCAACTTACTCGTGATAAACGCATCCGGGTTGATATGACGAGCTCTCACAAAATAAGCAAATTTGCTTCACCATCTTAGCGGTAAACTCAATGCACTCTTTTCTTGAGAGCTTGTCAGATCTATCCGGATGAGCTAATCACGAGTAGGTTGCACTGTACCACGTATACACTAAGCAAAAATGAGCACCCCAATAAATTCATTGCTAAACTATAGGGAAGAGACTACCTGACAGGAAGAATGGCCCAGTGCTCCCAACAAAAGGTGTCCATTGTACCACCTTTCAAAGGGAAACAAAATGATATGCCACCAGTCATGCCAATCCATCAACTAGTGTTGACACACAGACGTGTTAGTGCTATTAGACCAGATCAAAAAATTACCACGTGAATCCAACCCAGACAGACCTCTCACTGTGTCATGCGTTCTTCAGTTTAACCTTGCCTGCGGTAGCACATACATTGAACAGAATGAGATAAGATTATCAACCAAGGTTCTGGACACACATTCCGCAGGTCTTGTAAATCAGTGGTTGCAATATGCTTGCCAGCTCAATCACCCGACACACCTGCTCGATAGTATTTTGTGCACAACCCATTTCATCAGTGCTTAAAATACTCTGCTCCTGTTCTCATGTGTTGAAGCTTTTGTCATCCGTCGAATGAAGTGTAAGTAAAGTAAACAAATGGTTCTCGTGACCAACCTCGCTTTGTCCTGGGTTATGTCGTTGCGCACGATGACCTCGATTGTCGTAGACTTCAAATGCTTACCCTTGTCGCTCCCCAATAGTCAGCATCATTCATTTAATTCAACCACTGTATGTGTGCAAAACGGCTTGCTACATGCAGTTGACTGGGTCCAAGTTATTTTGTTTTTTCTCTAATGAAATTGGCGCATGACATCTTGACGTGGCTTCGCGACAGTCTGGTGTGCCTTTGGGGTTAGTTTACTAGACGGCGCATCGTGTGACAGGAATCGCAACCGAAATTGGATGCCGTCTTTGTCTAGCTCCGTGCTGACCATACTTTCCCTGTCTGGCTTCGTTTTTGCGACCTCGTTCAGGGCGCAGTTGTGTGCATACCCACCTGTACGTTGTCCAAAGGGCACTGATGATTCCCTCTACCTCTTTACACGCGCACACTCAGCTTATGTCTTCCCACATCTGGACGAAATTCGAGGCACCACACTCCATGCGTGCATCATCATGTATCTGTCACCTCTTATTCCTTACTTTGTATCTTATCGGCTATCTTGGCCATGTGTAATCTTGATACTTTTCAACACATTGTCCTTCCTTCTGATATCCCTCGATCGATTATTACATGCTGTGTACCATGTGAAACTACCTGCCCATTTCCTCAGTTCGGTCTCTGATGTTTGATCAAAGCTGCGAAGTCTGTCAGTACTCCCCTCTGCAAAACAGTTCGTAGCTATATGGGTTGATTTGTGGAAATTTCTTCCTTTCCGCCAGATACTGCGTCCACTCATCACACCCCATATCTCAATCCTCGTTTTGTTTGTTCCGACTTCCGAATGGTCATTATCACAAGCGAGACGCTCCGTTCCTTGAGCCTTGTAAGAGTTTACCGAAGTCCGTTTCCTTGACTTTACCAAGACCGTCTTGTCTCTCCGTGAGGGAATCCATACTGCTCTCTTCCATCATCGTATCAATGGTTTTGGAACACTTACGTAGCTTCTGATCCAAACTCATTGCTTATGCATAGATCTCGTTTTCGCGGCCTCAACGTAGGCTACTTGTTCGCCAACTAGCTCTGTTCTCGAAGTCAGGGCATGAGGTGTCACTGACGAGCGTGGTTATTTTGTTGGTTGCTGCTTAGAGCTACTTCGAATTTCTTTGTCTACTTACATACAAGTAGGCAAATAGCAAGTACATTCATGAGATATTTCGTGATTTGATTGGGCCGCGGGAAATTGTTCCACCGGGAGTGGTTCCCCATAACGCTGAAGCAGCGTCCCACTAAGTATTTGAAAGATTTTCGGAATCGCTTGATGAGCAGCATTGATTTGTGAATCGGAGTTGTTTGGCTACCGCCTAATACTATTCTAGCTCCTCTGGGGCCCGATCCATGGAAATCTTGAGTGTGTGATTCAGTTTCGAAAACAGCAATTAGTGAATACTAAATACTGGTTGGAAGCAGCAAGTAGCGAAATCTCTATGTGGCTGCATCCAAAATCACTCAGGTACAATGACCTGTTGTGTTTGGGTGCGTTCGATCTATTTAATATTAGTAAAGTATTTGTCCAGGAATTTCTTGAATTCCGACACCGACTTTGCCTCGACTACCTGCTGCGGCAGGTTTTTCCATACATTCACCACTCTCCCTTCGAAACAGAGTTAGTGGGCGACCCGGTTCAAATCCGGTACGACAAGCTTGTACCGGTATCCGCGTGTGCTGATTGGTGCGTGCATATACAGCAACGGCCTTAATGTGGGGTTATCACGGAGATGTAATATTCGGTGCGATTTGTACTATCTCCTATCCACTTTAACTCGAATAGAACCCCGTCCCGTTCGTTTGATAAATCGGCTAAGCCCATCTGTGGCTTTAAGATCACAATTATATACGTCGCAAACGTATTCATTGTTAGTTGGTGTGTCGGCGGGCTGCAGTTGTTTTTTCTAGTCTCTTCAGCCCTACACGACGTCTCAGGAGATTACTCTTGGATTAACCCATCTCAGTACGCATCCTCGTCGTTATTGAGAGTGAGTCATGATGCATTTTGCGTGCGTCATCAGGGTAGTCATCATGGGTTTTACGTTTTGGTGCACTTCACGGCACAACCGCCGCAGATTCCACAGCCACGCCTCCTTATTTACCGCACAGTGCAGTATTACGGTCTACTGTCTTGGATACCTTTTTGACCTGTTTACTGATGACTTGATTGAAAAAATGCAAAAGTGTGATCCAGATCCATTATGCTAACTTAAGTCTTTACCGAATATTACCTCTGTTTCTCACCGACTTCTTCATACGAACACCATGCAATTATCCATTGTTTCTTTTTGTCTCCCTTGTCTAGCCTGTTCGCACCGGTAGGTCCCAAGGCAATCAAGAGTTGTCGGCCGATGAAATCGGATCGGAGCCCTCCGATGATTTTGTCACGAGTGGACGAGGTGACTCTGATGACGTTCCGGGAGCTATCGCAATGCCTCTGACCCACACAAAACCCGACTTCAGTCATCGTCAGCGTCCCGACATGGCAAGCAGTTTTCACGTTCGATCTTCCATCCAGACCACTGGTGATTGGCGGTCTGAACTTGTCCCCGCTTCCCGCAGCTTAGCATACGTTGGGATCTTACCATCCCACTTGAGGATACATCCCTGATCTGATGCCATGAACCTCGTTTTGTCAGAAGCGCCTGTACCTCTTGCCCACACATTCTGCCATCTGTTTGGTCTCCCCAGACCGATTTTGCCATTCGCATGTGACTATCCAGGTTTCCTACAATTTCCCCACCGTGCCACAACCCCACCAGGTTGTTTGTCGAAAGCTAGTTCTCCGCTTTCTGGTCCCTCTGCGCCCACTGATATCCCGATCTAGTTAGTCGTGTGGCGCTCGTTTCCTCCTTCCTACTGCGCCTCTCTCTGTTTAATGCATCATTTTGCTACTTTGTCTTGCGCATTAATCACCTTAAGTGACCAAGGCCTGTTTTATCGAACAAGCGTATCGCGCTGTTTCCATCTCCTTTCCTTTTTACTTCTCCAGTGCAACCCGTGTCTTCGATCTGTCTAGGCTCTGTGAGGTTGAACAAAGCGTGATTCTGATTCTGCTTGTCATCCGTTGATAGCCAACCGCCGCTTGGTTAACCACTTTCAGGGTATCTGCTAAAGCTCAGTTCAATGTTGAGAGTAACAGTCACTGGCGATTCGAGTAACAAATTAGACCTAGCTCGTAAATTCGCTTTTTGATTCCACTTCGAAAATACTCCAACTAATCGTTTGGCCACGGGGCTCACCTTTCATAAGCGAATGACTCGTTTAGAAGAGCAACGCATCTTTCTAAGAGCAAAGCCGGGAAGCAGGCAACGGAACTAATTACAAACTAGATTATAGACTAACGCAGTACGCAACTCAGTATGTGCTTTCAGCACGATTCAGTAACAACAGTCTGCTTGCACTTCGGTGCCACTTGCCAACAAAGATTGTTTCTAACTGGCGAGGGTATAAACAAATAACGGGGCACCTCAGTGCTCGACGTTTTTGCATGATGAGTGGAGCAAAAGAAACGGCGAATCGCCTATAGTTCGCAGGTATGATGTACCGACGAATGGATTATACACCCGAGCTGCACTCATGTCAATATTCGGACGGGGCAAGGTTCCATGCGGTGTCAAATGTTACGCGCATGCATGACGCTCACCGAGGCGTTCAGTTGGTGCAAGGGATGGATATTTCAAGCACAGTGGGGACAAAATGGACGATGATACTTGAGTCTTGATGAGAGGAATTTGCAAAGTGTATCTGGTTCTGATTATCACACACACAGGACAGGCTTGAGTGTTTGGGTGAGGAGAATTGACCAAGTTGTCTGTAGTCGGGACACTGATTTTACAGTACTGACATTCGTAAATTTTCTACACGTTCTATGTCTGTTTAACCAATCTGCCGGCAGCGCGAATAACGCATTATTAAGATTACGGACCCCGGCTCAACCAGTCTCCCCACATCAGGTGACGATCTTATCAAAATCCATCATTTGCCGTCACAGAGTTCCCACCACCATTCCGGCCAGGTCACGTTATTCTCCTATATCCGATCTTATGGTACTATGTCAATTGTACTATTGGTCGTGTCGAATATTTATATGATTGTGTTGTCTGTAGACCTTCAACACTGTTGGTTCTGGTCGCGTGATGTCCATTTGAGTGTATGACGTAATGACATGAAAAAAGTCATCGAACACTTAACTGAGCTGGTGCATATGCCATCTTCCTGCGTGAGAATCTCGAAATCGGCCATTTTAGTTATCATAGCCTTTTCCCACATGGCACAGTTGAGAAATTCGTCGTTCTCTTTCAGCAAGTCTATTATGTTCAGGCATCAATCTTTGCATCTAGAAATTATGCATTCTTATCTCCTTTATTGACTTTTATTATCACAACTGTACGCCCAATGGCAGTTTGATCCTTCGCGTTCGCTTTCATTTAGTACTAGCTAAACTGCATACTTTCACATTTAAATATACAAGGCCATAATTCTGTAACTATAATGCAATGTGATGGCGCATGACGACATGAGATTGAAAACTGTTTCGTCCATTCCTGCTAGGAGAGTCGAACTAACCAGGATTTTACAAAAAGAGGCTACGGGGTAACTGCGCTCATTGGAAAGACAATGTTGAGGTATTTAGGGAAGAAGTTGTTCTAGTCCGAAATGTTTGGAGATAGGGGTGGTAGTTGGGATGCCGGCGTTGGTGCGGCGAACACGGAGCTTCGTCTCGTGGTCAACTATCTGCTTTCGGTTTTCATCGACCAATAGGTCGAAATATCTTGAGAAGCTTATGTCAACGATTTAAAAGGGGACTGCAAAAATGGTAAACACCCACCGTAGTGTTGTATTCTCTACAACACGAGACACGCCTGCATAGGCATGATCATGGTAACATAAGCATTGAGGACCGGCAGATGTAAATAATGATGCAAGTTTACCCTTAGCATATGGATCTATATGGTAAGTGTATATGGATGTATGTAAGTATGAATGCAAATACAGAAGCGAACTGCGCCGTCAACGCGGACGCACGCTCAGTGCGAGCTTAAGGGCTATCCGTCCGGGCCACGCAGCACACCACCTACCGGCTTCAAGCGTCCTTTAACGTAAGTAAAGGTTCTCTATGGGGCGGTCTTCGCGGCGATTGCGTGCTGCTCTTCGTAATGTCCACGCTCATTCCTTTTTGCACTGTTGCAGATGTTTCGCTGACTTTTGTACGCTTCGTAGTCGTTAGCTGGGTGGTTCGGGTGTACCCCGTTCCAGCAAAGTGTTCGGCGACAATGTTCCACCTCCGTGGGGCATTGTATTCCAGCAATTTTGCTGACTTCATGGGGAGTATTGGGCCCCTGTTTGGTAATCTACCAAACAAAGGCGCATGAGCTGATCATTCAGTCAACGCCTCCCAATGGGCGCGATTCCCTAAATTCGCCCCCGCTGCCTTGCGGGTAGGTTATTTAGCCAAAGGCTCGGGGTGGAGTCCCCTAAGTCAACTCCCTACTTCGGCTTGGGCAACCGGGTAGTATCACGCCCTCTCGCAAAACCACGGACTGTACTACAACGCGCTCATCAGCTACTGTTCCTGCTACTCACTTTCAAGCTACTCCATCACATGCCAATTGTTTGTTTGCTAACAATCCTCACTTTCGGTTACCTGATTCATCTGTTCAACAATTTGGCTGCGATTCCGGTTGCTCCGCAGATCAAGGAATTCAACCTATGGCTCTCCTTCGTCCCCGATCCTCGTTCCGTCTGGCGTGCTTCAACGTCCGGACACTCATGCAGATTGGACAGCAAGCCGGTCTAGCGCGCACCCTAGATTCCCTAGACATTGATGTCTGCTGCCTTTCAGAAACTCGATTGCAAGATCCCAGCACTGTGCTTACACTGACATCCCCCACTGACCACGAAGCCACATATCACCTACGTCTTTCTGGAGATCCAGAAGCAAGCTCAGCGGGTTTGGCTGGTGTAGGTATAGCACTGAGTGGCAAGGCCGAGGCGGCACTACTGGACTGGTTCCCGATTAACAGCCGACTATGTGCAGTTCGGCTTCGGGGTTCATGTAGAATCAACAGGCAACGCGAAGAGAGACGCAACTTGTTTGTGATCTCTGTGTATGCTCCAACTGACTGCAGTAGCGACTCGGTCAAGAACGATTTCTACCGAGATCTACAACAGCTCTTGACTAATGCTAAAAAGTCGGATGTCGTTATCCTTGCTGGGGATTTTAATGCACGGGTTGGCCGCCTGTTACCATACGAACGCCACCTTGGTGGTCATCACGCGCTCGATGAGAACCGCTCTGATAACGGAGAGAGACTTCTCACATTGTGCGAGGACAACCGTCTGTTTCTCTCGAGCACTAGCTTCAGGCGTACGAAGAAGCGTTCCGCAACTTGGCGTCCCCCTTCGCCAACACAACCTTGGTCTCAAATTGATCACATTGCGATTAGCTTCAGATGGCGGGGCAGCATACTGGACTGCAGGTCCTTTTGGTCCACTTTCGTTGATTCAGATCATGCTCTGGTCTGCGCGAAAATCTGTATGGGTTTTGGAGGATCCCGAAACACGAAGCACCGCAAGATTGATGTAAACAGATTAACTGATTCCTCTGTCCAGGAGAGCTATCAGTCTTCACTGGCATATGCACTCAGTTGCAATCCACCGCGAGAAGTGGAACAACACTGGACTTGTATACGGAAAGCGTTGACCATTTTCGGGCAGTCATGCTGCGGTCTAACTCGACGTCCTTTGAAGTCTTGGATCTCTGCTCGTTCTCTGGAGCTCTTCGAACGCCGCAAAGATATCTCCGCGGAATCAGATTGCAACGAGCGGCGCCGTTCTACCAACCGGCTGCTTAAGCAAAGCCTCCGCAAGGATCGCGAGACATGGTGGTCTGAGCGTGCTTTAGAGATGGAGACTGCTGCCCTCTCTGGTAACACTCGCAGGCTTTTCCAACTCATTCGGTCCACTGGCCTCAGGAAGCCTGGTGTCAGTGAGGTCATTTGTGAGCTGGATGAGTCTCCGATCACCAACCAACAGAGGCGTATGGACCGCTGGGCGGAGCACTTTCACTCGCAGTTCAACTGGCCTCCACCATCCATCAGTACATGCAGTACACCTTGCTGTCCACCTTGGCTAGTCCCATTGAATCCACCCAGCGAAGCAGAAGTCTGCCTTGAGATTCGACGCTTGAAGCGCTTCAAGGCTGCCGGCTTAGACGGACTTCCTCCGGAGCTATTCAAGTATGGCGGTGTAGCAGTCATTAACCAGCTAACCGCGCTGTTCGCAAAAATTTGGCATGAAGAGAAAGTGCCTCCCTCTTGGGGCGAATCAGTTATTGTCCCAATTTTCAAGAAAGGCGCTCGCACTTCATGTGCAAATCATCGCGGGATTAGTCTTATTTCGGTTGCCTCTAAGTTGTTGGCATCCATTCTACTTCGTAGACTATCCCCAGTACGTGAATCGTACTACCGTGAAGAACAAGCTGGTTTCCGTCCTGGCCGCGGATGCGTGGATCAAATCTTCACGCTCCGCCAACTCCTCGAACATCGCCACATTTATCACAGGCCCACTATCGTTGCATTCCTAGACATACGTGCCGCTTTTGACTCTGTTGATCGACCTGCTTTATGGCGTTGCTTACTAAAGAACGGGGTGCCAGAGAAATATATCGCCATCTTACGAGCACTTTACCTTCACACATCCGGCAGAGTGAGGGTCTATGGCAAGCTTTCCTCGCAATTCGCTGTCAATAGCGGTGTGCGACAGGGCTGCCCTATGTCCCCATTCCTCTTCAACTTCGTAATCGAAGACGTTCTGTCAAATGCCCTAGAAGGTTTCCAACATTTTGGCCTAGAGCTTCTACCGGGTGAGCGCGCGACCGACTTAGATTATGCTGATGATATCGCCTTACTTGGTGACGATCCTCAGGGTATGCAACTCATTCTGGATCGTTTGGCGGTTGAAGCATCTAAGTATGGCATGAGCTTCGCCCCATCGAAGTGTAAAGTACTGCTCAAGGATTGGATTTCATCTGCACCCGTGCTCACTCTCCAAGGTGCACAACTTGAACAGGTAGATAGTTTCGTCTACCTTGGGAGCTGTGTTTCCGCTGACGGCACAATCAACAAAGAAGTTTCGCTT